ACGTGTCCCAAGAACACCACCGAACTGAACCAAACCTCACACTTGGAGAACTTTGCATAAAGCTTCTCCCCCCTCAATCGTTGTAACAAAATCCTTAGATGCTGGGCATGCTCCTCCTGGCTACAAGAGTACACCAGGATATCATCAATGAATACAATGATGAACGAGTTCAAATACGGCTAAAATATACTGTTCATCAGATGCATAAACGTTGTTAGGGGGTTAGTCAGCCCAAAAGATATCACAAAGAACTCATAATTACCATATCGGGTCCTGAAAGCTATCTTAAGAATGTCTGAGTCTCGAATCTTTAGCTGGTGATACCCTGACCTCAAATCAATCTTGGAGAACACCATCGCTCCCTGAAGCTGGTCAAACAAATCATCAATATGCGGCAAAGGATACTTGTTCTTGATTGTGACCTTCTTCAACTGTCTTTAATCAATGCACATTCTCATAGTACCATCCTTCTTCTTCATAAATAGAACTGGTGCATCCCAAGGTGACACGCTAGGCTGAATAAACCCCTTATGTAACAAACCAGCTTGTCGTTTTAAGAATTTACGTCTCGTACAGACACTTAATGTCTCAAACAACTTCGTAATATGTATTATGACTTGCGTGTGTGGTTGAGTTTGGTTTTCAGATGATTTGGGATCAAATTGGAAGAACAGTTCTTATTTAAGAAGCTTAAATTAAAAGAGTTGACCAGAGAGCCGACTTTTGAGCAAACGACTCCGAAATTAATTTTTTTTATGCTTCCAATAGCTCCTTATGGTGATTTTGGACTCAGGAGTGCGTCTGGATATTTATTTGGAAGTCCGTAGTTGATTTTGGCTTGAAATGGCGAAAGTTGGATGGAAGGTTTGGAAGTTTGACTGGGAGTCAACTTTATTGATATCGGGGTCAGAATCCGGTTATAGTAATTTTGATAGGTCCTTTATGTCATTTATTACTTGTGTGCAAAATTTGGGGTCAATCAGACTTGATTCGCTATGTTTCGGCATCGAACCTAGAATGTTTCGACATCGATTCTTCAAGAATATGTAGAATAATATTAGGCAAATGAGCTTTAAATTCAGTTTTTATTGAAGCATTAGATCCGTATGGAAATTTCGGAGCCATAGCAAAAACAATCGTCGAATTCAGACATCGTATGAGAGAGTTATGCCCATTTCCATATCGGGAACGATTTTCTGTCGCCGTCAGCGCTCAGGGTAGCGTGGGGCGCTAGCCCTGGTGCTGGGATGTTGAAAGGTTTTGTAAATAGTGCCACAGGCAGTGTCCCACGCCACTTGTGGCACCCGAAACAGCTGAGACCCTATAAACAAGGGTTTTCTACCATTTTTGACAAAAATAGACTTCGGGAGCTCGGTTTGGGCGATATTTGGGTGAATTTTGGGCGATTTTCATGGGTAAACATTGGGGTAAGTGTTCCTTATCCTATATTGATTATATTTCATGATTCCATACTCATTTACATCATGAATCCATGACTTTATGGAAGAAAAATCAGATTTTTGTAAAAGCTTCCAAAAATGTAAAATGAAGATTTGAAGGTCAATCCGATATTAGAATTTGATAAAATTGGAATTGGTGGACTCAGAATTGAATGGGTTGTTGGATTTTGTGAATTTCATCAGATTCTGAGATGTGGGCCCTACAGGCGATTTTTGATTTAAATTTCTAATTTTGTTAAAAATTAGTATTGTCATATGGAATTAATTCCTATAATTAGTATTGATTGAATTGAATTAATTTGGATAGATTTGAGCTTTCTGGAGGTCAATTCAAGCAAGAAGGCAATTTTGGAATATCGACCTAACTTCAAAAAGGTAAGTGTCTTGCCTAACCTCGAGTGGGGAAATTACCCCTTGGGCATCGAGTCTTATGTGCCATTTGTGAAATGTAAAAAGCCGTGTACGCGAGGTGACGAGTACGTACTCGGGCTTATATGTGTAAATTTTATTGGATTAAAGTATTAGGCATTACTGTGTAGTAAATTGGATAATTGTTGGCATTTATTTAATCATCTATTTGCCATGCCTCAAACCACATTTATTGAATTTGCTTTTATATGATGATTTGATGTGAATGTTACCTGTATATTTATGTGAATTTTGTGAGTTTGATGGTTTGATATTCTTGTAATTTAGTTTCATTATGAATTTTTCCTCTACAAATATTTAATTAAATGAGCTTAAGAAGAGGTGTTATATAATTATTGAGAAGTTGGATTAATGAAGGCGTTGCCCTATGCTGAGTAATTTCTATCTTTGTTGATTGTTTTTGAGATCTTATACACATTGTGTGGAGCCTTCGGCTATTTATTGTGAAATTAATTGATTGTTATATCTTTGGAATTGGTTGTGGCCATTGGGCAAATTGTGAGATGAATTGATTTTGTTATGTTGCCGTGATAATATTCCGTGTAAATTGTTGTAAAGTGTGAGTTATTATTTTGAGGATATAAGGGTGGCATTCCACTATTGATATTATGTGGGCATAAGGATGGCATTCCATTGTTGATATTCTGTGGGCATAAGGGTGGCATTCCACTATTGATATTATGTGGGCATAAGGGAGGCATTCCACTATTGTTATGTGTGTTGGGATATTGTCTGGGAGCAGAGATAAAGGTGGCTTTTGGAGTTATAAGGGTGGGTATAGGAGAAATAAAGGTGGCTATAGGAGAGATAAGGGTGGCTATTGTCAGGGATGATATGTGATGATGTGGAGTTATTGTGTTGGTGATTTTCATGTGATGTTGTGATTTTTCTTGTATTTATTTTTATACCTTGTGCAATTTATCTTGTTGTTAGTAAATTGATAACAATCTGATTTATGTTGAAATTGGGAGCCTGTGGCTATTGCCAGGCAGATTATAAAATAAAAGGTGGGCACGAGGTGCCGTGAGTAAATAAAGAGGATATTGGCACGTGAATTGTCCGTGCAGTTGTGATATGAAATGTGGGCACGAGGTGTTGTGGTTAAATGATAATGATATTTGGCACGTGAGTTGTCCGCGCGGTTGTGATAGAGAAATTGGCACGAGGTGCCGTGGAATATGAAATTGGGCTGAGACTCATATTATATGATTTTTGAAATGAGGTGTCACATGGTGATTTTTAATTGAAAGAATTATATTCAAAATATTTATTTGGAAGGATTTTTATTCAAAAGTATTATATGAAAGAATTATATTTGAAAGAGATTTAGTGAAAGAATTATATTTGAAAGATATTTATTTGAGAAAATTATATTTGAAAGAGAGTTATTTGAAAGAATTATATGTGAAAGACATTTATTTGGAGGACTTGATTTAATTGGGTGTACTTGTATTTATTATTTGTTGAGCGATATTAATGGTGTTCTTGTTGTCCTGCTGTGCATATCACTGGTTGATTTATGTTTCCCTTATTGTTATTTGTTTCCTATTAATTTGTATATCATATTACACAGGTTATTAGACTAGTGAGTGTCTTGACTGTACCTCGCCTCTACTCCACTGAGGTTAGTCTTGATACTTACTGGGTTCCTACCGTGGTGTACTCATACTACACTTCTGCACAATTTTGTGCAAAGTCAGGTATTGGAGCTATCGGACTCAAACAGAGTTAAAGTGATATCGCAAGGATTTAAGATAGAGCTGCTCGGTCGTCGCAGTCCCTTGGAGTCTTTCTATTTTATTGTACTGTCAACTCTTTTTCGAACAGTATTGTATATTCGATCCTTGAGATCATTTCATGTATTTAGTTAGAGTTTGTGACTCAGTATTATCAGTCTTGGGAGGTTTTTCATATTTGTTTCTGCTGTTGGTTTCGATTATCTATATAAAAAAATGGCTTGAATTGTAATTAAAATTGGCTTACTTAGTCTTAGAGACTAAGTTCCATCACGATGCCTGTGGTGGGATTTTGGGTCATGACAAGTTGGTATCAGAGCTCTAGGTTCATAGGTTCTACGAGTCATGAACCAGTCTGGTACAGTCTTGCGGATCGGTACGGAGACGTTTGTACTTATCTTCGAGAGGCTACAAAACTATTAGGAAATTTCTACTTCTTTCATTCTTGTCGTGCGGAATTTGTTGATCTTGGAATTTGAGCCTTTGTATCTCTATTCCCTCACAGATGGTGAGGACACGTGCTACCGGGTCAGCTGAGCAGACACCCACGCATACTGCTAGGGCCGCAAGATGTAGAGGCCGAGGTAGAGGTAGAGGAAGGGCACATGCCGCGACTAGAGCACCTGTCAGAGCAGCAGTTGAAGATCCACTAGTAACTCCAGTTGAGGGACAGGTACCATAAGCACTTGTTGTTACCCCCGGACTTCAGGAGACTTTAGCACAGTTCTTGAATATGTTTGGTACATTAACTCAAGTGGGATTGATCTTTGTTGCACCAAATATTTCACAGATTAGGGGAGTAACTCAGACTCCTACCGCCCGCACTCCAGAGCAGTGAGTTCATATTGGTCAGGTTCCGGGTGTAGTGTCGTTACAACCTATTATTCCGGTTCTGCCTGAGGTCAGGCCAGAGGCATCAGAAGAAGAACAAAAGAGACTTGAGACATTTAAGAGGTATAGTCCACCTACTTTCAGTGGCACAGCTACAGAGGATGCCCAGGGATTTCTAGAAAAGTGTCACCGTATTCTCCGCACCATGGGTATTATGGAAGTGAGAAGAGTTGCCTTTACTACATTTGAGCTGTCAGGCACAGCGTATCAGTGGTGGAAAATATATGAAGAAGGTAGACCAGTTGATGCAACACCACCAACTTGGTCTCAATTTCCGGAAATATTTTTGAAAGAATTTGTTCCCCAAACTCTCCGGGATGTATGGCGCACAGAGTTTGAACGGTTGCGTCAGGGCACCATGTCGGTGTCAGAATATGCTATCAAGTTTAGTGAGTTAGCCCGACACGCACCTATCTTGGTTCCTACAGTCAGAGAGCGGGTCCATAGATTCATTGAGGGGCTCGATTATGATCATAAAATAGGCATGGCTCGAGAGTTGCAAACTGATACTCCATTTCAACAAGTTGTGGATAGTGCGAGGAGGATTGAGGGTGCTCTAGGTGAGGAAAGGGAGTCTAAGGAGGCCAAAAAGTCTCGAAGCTTTGGAGGGTTCAATGGATTTTACTCTTCAGCTATGACCCATTATTTCGGAGGCTCGAGCAGTCAGCCAGCTCAGTCTGCACATCAGATTACTCAGGGTGCTCCAGTAAGATCTTATAGTACACCAACGACACGAAATTCTTACAGTGGTTATTCCAATTATTCGGCACAGACTCAGTACGAGCAGCCACGACCTCAGATGGGTTGTTATGAGTATGGTGATACTAGGCACATCATGAGATATTTTCCCAGACTTGCGAGGGGTGGATTTCATCAGAACACTCAGGCTACGGGTGCCCCAATGCAGCTACTACCCACGTACACAGCCAATTAGGGGTGGAGGACAGGCGGGTAGATGGCGCCCTAGAGGGGGAGGCCCAACCCGTTGATTTGTTTACTATGGTGTGGCTGAGGCCACCACACTAGATGGTATCGTTACAGGTACGATCCCATATCTTTATAAAGGGATATCTCTCCTTAATTTGATTCAGTTCTGAATATTGAGGCGAGTCCTCCTATTATGCTCCATTTATGGGTTAGCTTCGTAATTTTGTGACCCACTTATATGTTTATCTCTGTTGGGAGATTCGATGATGTTAACCCATGTATATCATTTTTATTATACACTATTGAGGACTATAAGTCCAAAAGTGACTTTCTATTACTCTCTACAATGGGTTTTGATGTGATTTCGGAATAATTCATTTCAATTTTATGAATTATATGCCCTATTGGTATGAGGTTTCATTATGTGTTGTGAAAATTCTTTACAAAATTTATTGAAAAGAAGAAAGAAAGGAAATGAAAATTTTTTGTAGGCACAATGTGCAAAATACTTGTGATTCAGAACTGAGGACGAGATCCTCGCATTCTAATATGATTTGATATGTTTAAACCGGACTACGAGCCGCGGTGGAAGTTATATAAGGACGAGATCCTTGTGATGAAAATTTATGTGTTTAAATTCTTCCTTGTGAAATTAAATTTGTACTATAGTACTTATAGGGAGTCATGCCTGTTAGGCTTATTTGGAAATTCTTGTATGAATTTCTCTGTGCATAATTTGCCATATTCATGTTGTAATTTTTGAGTTTTAGCCTACGAGATGAGTGCCCAGGTAGCGTTAAATATGACTCGTTAATTTGGATAAATAATTATGAGATCTTTATGTCTCGTGTCTCGTTGTTAGTAAAGTGGAGGTTTGAAATGAGATTTTATTCACATGAGGTTAATTGGCGATGTTGCAATCGATTATGAACAACTATTAAGACGAGAGATGTGGTGATGTGCATACATAGGATGTGCTTCATGTCCTGATATCATTATGATAATACAGTGCTTGCAATGCTGAGATTAGTGTTATTGATATATACATTGTGGTGCTTTGTTGGGTTGTAGATGTATTGTTAGGAGTTGTTTTGGTGTTACTCTAGCAGGTGGATAGGCCCAATTAGTCATGAGCAGGTTTAGTGGAGTCTTGAGGATCGGTATGGAGACGTCTGTACTTATCTTCGAGAGGCTGCCAAACCCTTAGGAATCTTCACATTCTTGAATTCTTGTCGTGCGAATCTGTTGATTCTAGAAACTAAACATTTATTGTTTCAATCTCTCACAGATGGTGAGGACTCGTACTAACGGGCAGGATGGACAACCACCGATACCACCAGCCAAGGCCGCGAGAGGCCGAGGTCACAGTAGAGGCCGCGGTAGAGGCAGGGGTGCAGCCCGCACAGCACCTGGGGGAGTACCTGCAGATCCACCAATTTCCCCAGATCAGGACCGGATTCCCGTTGTTGATGCACCAGCTCAGGCACCACCTGTGCCTATTGTGATTCCAGGCCTTCAGGAGGCCTTAGCTCAGATTTTGACTACGTGTACCAGTCTTGCTCAGGCGGTCTCTATTCCGGCCACAACAGCCATTTCTCAGGTCGGGGGAGGTGCTCAGACTCCCGCTACCCGCACACCAGAGCAGGTGGTACAGGGATTCCAGACACCGAGGGCACCGCCAGCCCAGCCGGTTGCAGCTGCTCAGGACTATGTGGTTCATGCTATGCCTGAGGATGAGCAGCATAGATTGGAGAGGTTTGGGAGACTCCAGCCTCCATCTTTCAGTAGTGTAGAGGGAGAGGATGCATAGGGTTTCTTGGACATGTGTCAGAGGATACTCTGTACAACAAGTATTCTGGAGACCAGTGGGGTCTCGTTCACTACCTTTCAGTTCTTTGGGGCTGCATTCAGTTGGTGGGAGGCTTACAAGAGGCGTAGGCCGGTTGGCACGGCGCCCCTTACCTGGCAGCAGTTCTCCGTTACCTTTCTGGAGAAGTTCGTGCCTCAGTCTCGCAGAAAGGAGCTGCACAGACAGTTTGAGCATCTTTGTTAGGGTGATATGTCTGTGACGCAGTATGAGATGCAATTGTTAGAGTTGGACCATCATGCTATCTGGTTGGTTCCCACAGACAGGGAGAGGATCAGGAGGTTTATAGATGGCCTCACTTATCAACTACAATTGCTTATGACCAGAGAGAGGGAGAGTGTCTGGTGCTACTTTTGATGAGGTTGTCGACATTGCTCGTCAGATTGAGATGGTTCACAGTTAGGAGAGGGTTGAGAGGGAGGCCAAGAGGTCTCGCTGACAGGGAGGATTTAGCGGTGCTCCTTCTGGGGGTCAGTTTCAGCACGGTAGAGGCAGTCTTTTCAGACATGCTCAGACGGCTCGTCCAGGTCACCGTGGTGCATCATTTGGCCATGGTTCTGATAGTTATCAGCAGGGCCGTTTATCTCTGGGTGCCCTCCCAAAGCAGAGCTCATCCCGTGCTCCATCAGGTCAGGGTTCGCCTATGCCAGGTCCTTCTACTAGTTATCCCGGTGCTCAGGGCTCCATTCAGTCCCCTGCACCAGCACCGGGGAGTTGTTATGGGTGTGGGGAGTTTGGTCACATGAGGAGAGAGTGTCCCTGTATAGTGGGAGGTTCAGCTCCGCAGAGGAGCCAGTCTGTGTCATCAGCACCAGCCCCTCCACCACCCGCTCAGCCAGCCCGGGGTGGAGCCCAGTCAGCTAAGGGTCGTCCGAGAGCGGGAGGCCGATCAGGGGGGCCAGGCCCGTTTCTACGCTCTTCCTGCCAGACCAGATGCTATTGCTTCGGATGCTGTGATTACAGGTATTGTCTAAGTTTGCCATAAAGCTGCCTCTGTATTATTTGACCCTGGTTCCACTTATTCATACGTGTCCTCGTATTTCGCTTATTATCTGGATATGCCCTCTGAGTCTCTAGTTTCATCTATTCATGTATCCACTCCTGTAGGCAATACTATTATTGTGGTCCGCGTATATCGGTCATGTGTGGTGACCATTGGGGGTCTGGAGACCAGAGTGGATATTTTGCTGCTCAATATGGTCGATTTCGATGTGATATTGGGTATGGATTGGTTGTCCCCATGTCATGATATTCTAGATTATCACACTAAGACTATGACGTTGGCGATGCCGGGTTTTCCGAGAGTTGAGTGGAGCGGTTTAATAGACGATGTTCCCAGTAGAGTGATTTCATACCTGAAGGCTCAGCGGGTGGTTGAGAAGGGTTGTCTATCTTATCTGGTCTTTGTGAGGGATGTTAGCGCAGAGGCCCCTGCTATTGATTCTGTTCCGGTGATGCGAGATTTCCCGGACGTGTTTTCCTGCAGACCTTTCGGGCATGCCGCCCGACAAGGATATTGATTTGGTGCCGGGCACTCAGCCCATTCCTATTCCACCGTACCGTATTGCCCCGGCTGAGTTGAAGGAAATTAAGGAGCAACTTCAGGAACTCCTTTATAAGGTGTCACAACCCAAAATCCCACCACAGGTGCCGTGATAGCACTTAGTCTCTAAGACTAAGTAAGCCGATTTTAATTACAATTCAAGCCATTTTTTATATAGATAATCGAAACCAACAACATAAACAAATACGAAAAACCTCCCAAGACTGGTCATACTGAGTCATGAATTCTAACTAAATATATGAAATGGTCTCTAGAATTGAATATACAATACTGTTCGAATAAGAGTTGACAGTACAATAAAATGGAAAGACTCCAAGGGACTGCGACGACCGAGCAGCTCTACCTTGAATCCTTGCGATCTCACTTTAACTCTGTCTGAGTCCGATAGCTCCAATACCTGACTCTGCACAAAGATGTGCAGAAGTGTAGTATGAGTACACCACGGTCAGTACCCAGTAAGTATCAAGCCTAACCTCAGCGGAGTAGAAATGAGGTACAGTCAAGACACTTACTAGTCTAATAACTGGTGCAATATGATATACAAAATATTAGGAAACAAATAATAATAAGCGCAACATAAATGAACCAGTGATATGCACAACAAGACAACAAGAACACCATTAATATCGCTCAACAAATAATAAATACAAGCACACCCAATTAAATCAAGTCCTCCATATAAATGTCTTTCACATATAATTCTTCCAAATAACTCTCTTTCAAATATAATTTTCTCAAATAAATATCTTTCAAATATAATTCTTTCATATAATACTTTTTGAATAATAATCATTCCAAATAAATATTTTGAATATAATTCTTTCAATTAAAAGTCACCATGTGACACTTCATTTCAAAAATCATAAAGTACGGGTCTCAGCCCAATTTCATATTCCACGGCACCTCGTGCCAATTTCTCTATCACAACCGCACGGACAACTCACGTGCCAAATATCATTATCATTTAACCACATCACCTCATTCCCACATTTCATATCACAACTGCAAAGACAATTCACCTGCCAATATCCTCTTTATTTACTCACGGCACCTCGTGCCCACATTTCATTTTATAATCTGCCTGGCAATAGCCATAAGCTCCCAATTTCAACATAAATCAGATTGTTATCAATTTACCAACAACAAGCCAAATTGCACAAGTTATAAAAATAAACGCAAGAAAAATTACAACATCACATGAAAATCAACAACACAATAACTCCACATCATCACATATCATCCCTCATAATAGCCACCATTATCTCTCCTATAGCCGCCCTTATCACTCCTATAATAGCCTCCCTTATCCCCCCATCCTGACAATATCAATAGCCACCCTTATTGCTCCTATAGCCACCATTATCACTCCTATAGCCACCCTTATCTCTCTAGCCACCCTTATCTCTCCGCCCAGACAATATCCCAACACACATAACAACAGTGGAATGACTCCCTTATGCCCACATAATATCAATAGTGGAATGCCACCCTTATGCCCACATAATATCAATAGTGGAATGCCACCCTTATGCCCACATAATATCAACAGTGGAACGCCATCCTTATTCCCACATAATATCAATAGTGGAATGCCACCCTTATATCCTCAAAATAATAATTCACACAAGACAACAATTTACATGGAATATTATCACGGCAACATAACAAAATCAATTCATCTCACAATTTGCCCAATGGCCACAACCAATTCCAAAGATATAACAATCAATTAATTTCACAACAAATAGCTGAAGGCTCCACACAATGTGTATAAGATCTCAAAAACAATCAACAAAGATAGAAATTACTCAGCATAGGGCAACACCTTCATTAATCCAACTTTTCAATAATTATATAACACATCTTCTTAAGCTCATTTAATTAAATATTTGCAGAGAAAAAATTCATAATGAAATTAAATTCCAAGAATATCAAACCATCAAACTCACGGAATTCACATAAATATACAGGTAATATTCACATCAAATCGTCATATAAAAACAAATTCAATAAATATGGTTTGAGGCATGGCAAATAGATGATTAATTAAATGCCAACAATTATCCAATTTACTACACAATAATGTCTAAGACTTTAACCCAATAAAATTTGCATATATAAGCCCGAGTACGTACTTCTCACCTCGCGTACATGGCTTTTCACATTTAACAAATGGCACATAAGACTCGATGCCTAAGGGATAATTCCCCCACTCGAGGTTAGGCAAGACACTTACCTTTTTGAAGTTAGGCCGATATTCCAAAATTGTCTTCTTGCTTGAATTGACCTCCGGATAGCTCAAATATATCCAAATTAATTCAATTTAGTCAATACTATTTATAGGAATTAATTCCATATGAAAATACTAACTTTCCAACAAAATCCAAAATTTAAACCAAAAATTTCCCGTAGGGCCCACGTCTATGAACCTGACAAAACTCACAAAATCCGGCAACCCATTCAATTACGAGTATACTCATACCAATTTTATCAAATTCCGATATCGGATTGATCTAAATATGATTTTTCTTTCATAAATTTATGGATTCATGATGTAAATGAGTATGGAATCATGAAATATAATCAATATAGGATAAGGAACACTTACCCCAATGTTTACCCGTGAAAATCGCCCAAAATTCGCCCAAACCATGCTCCCCAACTCTATTTGTCAAACATGGTAGAAAACCCCCGCTTATAGGGTCTCAGCTATTTCAGGCGCCACAAGTGGCGTGGGGCGCTATTTCCAGTACCTTTAAACATTCCAGCGCCAGGGCTAGCGCCCCACGCTACCCTGAGAGCTGACGGCGACGGAAAATCATTCCCGACACGGAAATGGGCATAACTCTCTCATACGATGTCCAAATTCGACGATTCTTTTTGCTATGGCTCCGAAATTTCAATACGGATCTAATTCTATAATCAAAACTAAATTTGGAGCTCATTTTCTTAATGTGATACCCTGTATGCATGAAGAATAGATGTCGAAACATTCTAGGTTCGATGCCGAAACATAGCAAATCAAGTCCGATTGACCTCAAATTTTGTACACAAGTAATAAATGACAAAACGGACCTATCAAAATTTCCATAACTGGATTCCGACCCCGATATCAATAAAGTCGACTCCCGGTCAAACTTCCAAACCTTTCATTTCTAACTTTCGCCATTTCAAGCCAAAATCAACTATGGACTTTCAAATAAATATCCGGATACACTCCTAAGTCCAAAATCACCACACAGAGCTATTGGAATCATAAAAAATTCCATTCCGGAGTCGTTTGCTCAAAGTCGACTCTCTGGTCAACTCTTTTCTTTTAAGCTTCTTAAATAAGAATTGTTCTTCCAATTTGATCCCAAATCGTCTGAAAACCAAACTCAACCACACACGCAAGTCATAATATGTATTACGAAGTTGTTCGAGACCTTAAGTCACTGTAGGAGGCGTAAATTCTTAAAACGACAAGTCGGGTCGTTACATTCTCTCCCTCTTAAACATACGTTCATCCTCGAACGTGCTAAGAATTATTCTTAGGGCATTAAATTACTGAGTGCATTCTTACACACATAACTTGCGGGTTTCTCCCCCACTTAGGATCATTCGCCCATAACATAACTTATTTCTTCTTTCGCACGTCTTAATCTCCCAAATTTTACTAACTCCCAAATTTTTCAGAAATTTCGGCAGAGTCTCCCCTGTATGAGACCTATATAATCTAGGCTCTGATACCAACTTGTCACGACCCAAAACCTAACCCGTCGTGATGGCGCCTATCGTGGTACTAGGCAAGCTGACCTTTCCAAACACTTTCAAAATTTAACCTAAATGAATTAAGAGATTTAAAATAACCGGAGTTTTTCATAAAACGGGGTAAAACCCAATTAAAACATAAGTACGAAAAAATAGCCCGACATCGGGGTGTCACTAAGTCATGAGCATCTAGCAACCAATCTAGAAATAAAGTCTACTACAGTCGATGCCAAATGCCAATACAAGAGAGAAAATATAATAAGAAAGGAGAAATAAGGACTGCGAATGCCGGCAGCTACCTCGTAACTCTCCGATAATCAGCCCACGCACGAACTCAGCAATCGCCGAAATCGTACAAACCTGGATCTGCACATGAAGTGCAGGGTGTAGCATGAGTACAACCAACTCAGCAAGTAACAAAATTAAATAAGGAACTGAGAAACAGTAACGAGCTATAAAAATAATACAGTTCATTTCAAAAGTTTTCAGTAGAGAATGAACATGCTTTCGATTCCAGTGGTGTAAGTCAAATCAGTTCGAGCTCAAGTAAAACAGATATGAATGTTCCAGAAATATCACCACAACAACAGATAACAACTAAGTGCAACAATAAATAAAATCAAGTACAACCTCTCAATGCAGCAGCCACTCAACTCATCTCAACAGCTCAT